GGCAGAGAGTGAAGTGATGCAGCTGCAGGCCAAGGAAGGCCAAGAATTGCCAGCCACCACCAGAAGCTAGAAAAGATTCTCCCCTAGAGCCTTCGGAGGGAGCACAGCACTGCTAGCACCTTGATTTCGGACTTGTAGCTTGCAGAACCATGAGAGAACAAATTTCTATTGTTTTAAGCCAACCGGTTTGTGGTGCTTTGTCATGGCAGCCCCAGGAAATAAATACACTCCAGCTCCTGGCTGATCTCCTCCTCCAGTTTCTTCAACTCCTGGACTCAGTGCGTGGGCAGCTCCATAGCGAAGGGTGCCTGCTTTTCCTACACATCACCTATGGCATCGACGGTGGAGGTGGGCAGAGGCACATGTGGGTTCCAGTTAGTCTTTGTGGGTAACAGTTGTCTTTGTTGGTCTTGGTTTGCCCTTGCGCTGGTCCATATCCAACTTTCCTTCCCACCTGCCGGTGTAGCACCTGGAGACTCAACACTGGACACCAGAGGCAACTGCTGGGGTAGGCTGCCCCACTAGTCACACAGTTGCCTTTGTAGGGGAGGAGGACATTTCCTCTCCCCAAATGGGGGTTCATCTGGCTGGAGAACGAATACTATTCACATGAGACAGAATAGCAAGAGAAAATTAAACAAAGCTTTATGAGGAACCATGGCCCGGGGCCTTTCTTCCCGAAGGAAGAAAGGGCACCGAAGAAGTGGGGTGCACATAGTGGTTATATACCCCCAAACGGGGTGTTTCACATGTGATTGAAATGTCCCTTTTACAATAGTCACGAGGCCGCTCTGTCAGCACAGCGCTTGATGGAAACGACAGATAGGTCTGCTGTCTCAGTGACCGCCGCGGGGTGGCAGGTGTGTTGCCTCGGGCTGGGGGGGGGGGTCACAGATGAGCCCCGCAATCGGTTCCTAGCCTAAAGAAAGACGCTTAATCTTTAAAGAAATGCCAACCTTGGGAGGGGGAGGGAAGTCAGTTACAGGAGGTTACCAGAGAAGCACAATAAAATGCAGATTTAAGTCCTTGCCTTTGGTATTGATTAAGAGTTTTTAGAGAGAAGGTCATCTCCTTTCTTCTTCCTGGTACAGAGAGGGAGGCAACTTTCACAGATAGAGATTAACCTTACAAATGTAAACGTGTCCTAACAAAGGACAAGTTCCATTCCTCAGAGCCTCCTTCCCTGTCCCAGTTTATCAAAAGCAATCAGCCTCAAATAATCCTGATGCCAAAGAGACATATCTTGGGGTGGCCAATTCCAGGTCCCCACACCTTTAATTCTTATAATAATTTTATTCCATACCTCATATGGCAGTTCTGCTTCTCTGATCAAACTCTAACAGATTGTTTTCCAAATTAGGCAAAAATGAATTGAACAAAATCAATCCTATTACCCAGTTGCTCTCATTATATGATATTAGAATACATTAGGTTACTAAGATTAATAGTTTCTCATTAAATTCTCAAAACAACTCTATGAAGAAAGTACTATTACTATGCCTATTTTGAAAATGGTTACAAATGTTACCATGTTTACAAATGTGACAGTGGCTTAATCTCTTAGAGAGATGAAGTAATTCAACCAAGTCAGAATTCATACCCACAGTCTAATTACAGAAAAGGAATTCTCAGCCACAATAGTACACCTCTACTCTGAATTTATTGGATCTGAAAGGAATTGTGTCTTTTCCACAGAATCTTAAGGATGCTAACCCCCTACATACACACGCAAAACACATTTTCATGACTTCAAGACTTTGCTCCTGCCTTTTCCGTTAATATTCCCCTTTTCTCAAGAACTTTCTCAATGTCACCCCCAGTCTTGTAGTATAACGGAAACAAAATTTTCTTTTAAGTCAGACTGACCTGGGTTTGAATGTCAGCTCTATCCATTACCTACTATCAATTTTTTCAGGTTCCCTAAGCCTTGATCTCATCTGTAAAAGTTCTATGTTATACATCTAAAAATAATATAGTCACTTATATACATGTCTAGCTCTTCCTGCTAACTACGGATCTTCAACTTTTTAAAAACTGTAACCCACAGGAAGAATATATTTTGCATTGCAATTCAATTCACCCCCCCCCCACACACACATACACATCCATATACATAGAAAACTGAAAGAAGTTTCATGAGTAGTGCTTGCCCTCATTCCTTGTAGCACACGTTGATCTATTCTATTCTATTCTATTCTGTTCTATTCTCTTCCATACCATTCCATTACTTAAGGCGCTGGTCATGACTCACTAAATTGATTTCATGAAGCACAGATGGGTCAATGTTGAAAACACTGAGCCAGTTTGGGTTCTTTCACATAACTGAGCATATTTTATTTGTTTTTGTATTGCTGTTTTCGTACTGCTACTGGCAAGCACAATGCCTGGCACAAAGTAGGTATTTGGTAAATACTTGTTGTAGGACTGGGTTTTCCTTGAGGGCAGGAATCTTGTCTCAGTTACCTTGTATCTATCCCACACTTAGCATAATTCTTACTACAATATTTAGAGACGAAATTGCTAAAATTCAGGCCTATTGCCAAGCTTTAGAGAATAAACATTTGGATCAATCAGTATCTCACAAGCGCCTACTATGTGGCAATACATAAATACTGAATTCATGGCTCCTTGCCTTAATTATCGTAAAAGCAGTATGAGATTGCTGAGGGGGAATGATGAATAATGTTGCCCAACTGAGAAATTAAAAAAAGGAGTAAGACACATGGAGGCCAAAGCATCACCTTTATTAATAGTAACAACTAAGTCAGAGAACATACAATAACGTGAAAGCCAGTCAGACCTGTTAATTAAACCCTAAATTGACGCAGTGCTGAACTAGGAGGGCCCTCCCTATGCTGAAAGCCTACACAGAGGAGGCATAAGGCAGCTCACACCCAAGAGGAATGTGGGAGGAGCCGAGGCTCAGCAAACTAGGTTTGTTTTTCCTAAATGCACCCATTCAAGGTCACCCCTCCCCCGACCAGGGACAGAGCGAATAAAAGAGCGTAGAGAGACCAGATAAATTATTATCAATTGAGCTTCCTCCATTAGGAAGGCAAACAGCAGAGGAGAGGTAAGTGTTCCTTCCTGAGAAGTAGATTTGGGGAACAAGATATACAGAACATATGACATACTAAATAATACTATAAAACAATTAAAGGAATATCACGAGGTAGGTACATAATTAATTGCTAAACGTAGTTTGCACTACTGTTTATCAAGTCTGACTGTTCATCAAGACCCGGAGGACATTAATTAGAGACTACCTATATTTCCCCCCTCCCCCCTTCAATATGCCTGGTGTGAAACCCGGGCCTCTGTTTTTAAAGCTTCCTGGATAATTCCAATGTAGAGGTAAGGCTGAGAACCACTGGCTTAGAGGAGCTAGACAGACCAGTGAACAGGAATCAGGGAGGACTTACTGAGGAGGAAATTGGACAGACATTGCTGGGTAAGTAAGATTGAGGGGGTCAGAAAGGAGAGAGCAGAGCACTTATACAGGGATGAGAATGGTAAGTAGCAGGACTCCAGAAATAACTGTAGCTCAAGAGTAACCTCAAGACCTTATTCTTAAAATCCCTTACAGATTTATCCTCATGAGAATGATCTGTGCTAATAAAGCAAATTATAAGACACATGGGCGCAAGGTTTAGTGGAAAAGATCTCGGGCTTTTGAGAGTTGGGAGACCTTGGTTCCTGGCTGTGTGACATTGCCCCTGTCACAACATCCTTCAACAGGAGGTTTAAGGGTCATCTGTAGAGATAGGAGTTCCTAAAGCATTCTGGGGAGATGGTTGTGCAGCCTTACTCATTTCAGGAAACAGCACTGCCATTCACTTGGAAGCTCAGACTAATAACCTGGGCATTATTTTTTATTTCTTTTTCTCACCTGTCCCCGCATCTAAGCCACCAACTAATCCTGATGATTCTTCTTCCCGAACAGATCCCAAATCTGTTCACCTTTCACAGACTCCGTTGATTACTACCTTAATCGAAGCCACCACCTCTCCCCTGGATTACTCCAGAGTTTAGGATTCAATAGGTCTGGGGCAGGGCCTGAGAACTTGCATTTCTAACAAGTTCCCGGCTGATGCTGACGCTGCTGGTCCTGAGACCATTCTTTGAGAACCACCGCTTGAAAGCAATGGTTCTCAACCACGGGTGCACATTAGAATCACTGGGAGGTTTAAAAAACTACTGCGTTTGGGCCGGACCTCCACAGATTATGATTCATTTGGTATGGGTACGAGGTTTGGCCATTTGTAGTTTTTAAATCTCCCTTGGTCATTCAAAATGTGCATCCAGGGTTGAGAAACACTACAAACGCTTAGAGGATTGGCTAAATTTGTTTGCTATTTGTGGCCTTTGCTCTAGCTGCTCCTAGCACCTGGTACACTCTTCCTGGTAGGTTTTTCCATGGCTGGATCCATCTTCTCATTCAGGTCTCAGATTAAATGTCACTTTCTCAGGTAGGCCTTCCCTGATCTCCTAATCTAAAATAACATTCCTATCCTTATCACACTATCCTGCTTTTCTTTCATTATAGGAATTAGCAGTTCATGCGATTTCTCTATGTATGCTTATTGTCTGTATCTTCCAACTATAATAAGCATCTCGAACATAAACACCTTTGCTGGTCTGATTCACTGCTGTATCCCCAGCACTTAGAACAGTTGTTGGCATCTATCAGGTATTCACTATATGTGAATGAAAGAGAAGATAAAAAGCTCTAAAATAAATTCTTTCAGTTCTTCTGTGTGGTTTTCAATTACTCAATTGGATTGTAATAAAATGTCTTTTATTTATGAAAGAGAATTGAACCATCTATGAAAAAAGCATCAATTGATTTTTCTGTAAATATATCTTAATTGAGCTGGGTTCACTCTCTCTTCAAAGGAACCCTGTATTAAATCTGCAAAGTCATTATCCCTTAATGTATTTTCATATACAGTATTTGTTCACAATATTGCAGCTTAGAGAATACAGCTCAGAGTAGGGCAGCTGGCTACGGCCAGGAGATAGCTATTAAACAAACGAATTGCTGCTTAGATTTTATTTGCTTGTTTTTGGAGACAGGACGCAGTAAATTTCAGAAAAACGGAAAGGTAGTGCAGGGAGCCACAGGGTCACATGAAAACATGAGGGCTATATCTCGTTCTTTCTGAAAGTGGGCTACACATTTACCTTCGCCTCTCGTGGGGGCACCTCTTTAATGAATGAATGTAATCTGGTCAAATTGAGAAGTTTTAATTTCAGGTAGAGAGTGTCTTGTTTCCCAGAGGTTTGCTCAAGCCAGTGCAGCAAAATCTTCAGCTGTGGGTTATCTGTCACGTGGTCTCAAAGAAGGGGCTGAATTAATTTTACAATTCAGGTGACTTAAGGGCAAAGCAGATGTCCTTAATTCCTCCGCGGACCATTTCTGAAACGTTACCCATGAAAACACAGAACAACATCTGTTACAGGGGAAAAAGGGAGTTTTCCCGCCTCTAGCCCGTCTCTTTGGCAGGGACGCGGGTATTCCTCAAAAGTCCCATTTATCCAGCCTTTGCCTACAGCAAAGGGGCTGGGTTTACATGCAACCAGTTTTTCAGTCAGCTGCCTGCCCTTTCTTCCCTCTTCGTGCTTCGTCGATCACGACTTTAAACGAAACGACTTTCCGTGTGAAGTAAGGTGGAAATCACTCTGGCGCATCGGTACAGCCCCGAGAAGTAGACAACTGCGCGGGTTCCGAGAACATCAACCAGACAGAGCTTGTGGGTTGAGGAAAATCAAAGGCGGAGGGGGAGCGGGGAAGGGAGAAGCAAAGCAACTGAATTGTCATTGCATTCTGGGAGTTGTAGTCCCTGCAGGGCGGCTTCCTCAAGTCTCCACCTGCCTCTGCACTCCATCTCCCAGCCGCCCCGCGCGCGGAGGAGGCGAGTGGTGGGGACGCTCGGTGATGAGCTGCCGCAGGGGGAGAGGGCTTGGGGCCGAGAGGCAGCCGCGGCGCAGCTGGGAGACGTTAACCTCTACGGTCTTTGGAGGCTGAGGGACCCTCGGGCGAGTGGCGACGAGGGCCGGGTGGCCGCCACGCGGTCCTGTGCTCGCCGTCTCTCCTATCCACGAACGCGCGGCGTCCGCCATGGGAGCGCATCCAGCCGCCGCCGGGGTCTCCGGGCGTCGCGTCCGCGGCTCCCCGGAGCGATGAGGGCGTAGGGACACCCGCGCCAGCCCGCGCCCCGCCGGCCGGGGAGACACGGAGGGTCGGTCGGGCCGGCAGCCGCGCCCGCCCCCGCGCCGCCCCGCCCCGCCCCCTGGGGGCGCTGCCGAGGGGCGCCCGCCGCCCATGCCGGCCCGGGGGCCAGCCGCGCCCGGCGCTCGCCGCTGAAGCCCAGGACGCGCCGCCCGCCCGGCCGCGGCCGCCCGCCCGCCGCCCCCCAAGATGTGGCACAACGTCGGGCTGACCCTGCTGGTGTTCGTGGCCACGCTGCTCATCGTCCTGCTGCTGATGGTGTGCGGTGAGTGGGGCATCGCCGTAGGGCAGTTCCACACCGCGGTACACACGGTGCTGACTTGCTTGTTTGGGCTGGTAAAAAAAAAAAAGGCGTGGATGGATTGGTGTCTTAAAGTCATCTGTTGTCCACCATCAGGAGTGGGCTCCGAGGAGATGGACCCCTGACTGATACAGGCCCGCTGGCATGCTGGAGAGGGAAGGAACAGGATCCAGGGCTGGGCATCCTGACTCGGGGTTGAACCAGATACTGCTTCCCCGGCAGCGTCCGCCCTTGATTGCCGTTCTTATCACAGTCTGCCCAGATTTTAACCTTGGCCTGTATTCGAGGGTGAAGTGATTGGTTACTCCTTTTTCTTTTTTGCGGGTTCTGACCCTAATGATAATGAGAGGTTTCGCTTTCTTCATTGAATCCGCGATACGGACAGAGTTGGGTTTGAAGCGCACGTGAAATTGTTTGTTTACTTCGAGTTCAGGCTTAAACTAAATTCCAAACAGAAATATGACACTAGGCAGAACTTAAAAACAGCGGCGATGTTAAACTTCCAGGGTCAGGTAGCCTAAGTCTTAGTTCTGTAATAATGGTGCTCTTTTGTTTGCTGTTGGTTTTTTCCCTCGTGGAATGAGAGGACATAAAACTCCTCTCTCTCAGAGTAATACTAGAGCAATTTTAGATCTTTTCGATTTCCTTAGACACAGTAACTGACAACCACAGGTCTCTTAGCAGAGTGACTGAGCAATTGTGAAAATTTGGGAAGTGTTTAGAACCAGATTCAGTGAATTTTTTATAATTATGATATTGAAGTGTGGGTTCAGGTTGATGCAGGGATTGGCCAGAATTCAAAATAAATACTGTAGGGCTTATTCCTTACATGATTAATGTGCTAAATGCTGAGTATCAGCTGAGTTTGGAGAAGGTATGTGTGCACTTGTGCATATGCGTGCATTTGTGTTTATATATTTATATTTTTAATTTTCTTGATTTACTAAGGCGTCAGAGTTAAAGCTTCTCACTTACACAGCCTTTCTTTTCTGATGATACAGCGATTGAAAAGCCTTTCTCAATTTCCTGCTTGTGATATCAGGATTTAGGGCTAATTGTAGATGTTTAAGATTCTTGAAGTAAGGAAAACCAGATCTTTGTGATTTGTTTGGATGTGAGGAAGGAGAGAAAAAGGAGAAGCATATGCTTTTTTTTTTTTCCTGATTTGGAGATTCAGGCTGCCTGGAGATGGGGATGTGGCACACAGACCATACAACACCTTGGATAGAATATTTGCCAAACTTGCCTTTGGGGCATCAAAATTCCTGATCGCTACATACATCAGACTTGCTCTCTCAGCTCCCAATAGCGATTTGACTTTAATTTTACTTATTTTTCTAAAAGCGCCCTGCCTTTCATTTCAGAAAACATTGTGGAATGAGAGGTGAGGTGTGGTAAGTAAAAGGCCTTATTTTGATTGGAATGGTCAGGAAGTAATAGCTCTAATGAAGAGGTCATCCAAGCCCTTTTTTGTTGGGAGAGCTAATGATGGGCTAGCTTCATGTTTGACTAGGGATTTGGGGAGAAGAGAGAAGGATCCTACCAGATTTGAGAGAGAAACAAGGGTATTGTGTTAGTTTGCTAGGGCTGCCATTAATAAACGACATTACCACAGACATTAAGCAACAGAAATTCATTTTCTCACAGGTCTGGAGGCTAGAAGTTTGAGGTCAAGGTGTCAGCAGGGTTGATTTCTTGGGAGGCGTCTGTCTTTGGCTTATAGATGGCTGTCTTCTCCCTGTGTCTTCACGTGGTCTTTCCTCTGTGTCTGTGTCTTAATCTTTTCTAAGAAGGATACCAGTCATATTGGATTAGGGCCCCACCCTTATGAGTTCATTTAATCTTAACTCTTTAATGGCCCTCTCTCCAAATACGGTCACATTGCAGTTAGAAATCTGTGACAGGGTCTGCCCCAAGAACCTCATAGCGCAGTTTAGTTTAGAACTCTGACTGGCTCTTTCATGTAGTGAATTCTGATTTTCAAATTTCAGGTTCCTCAGGAGGTTTTCCTTCTGCTGTCTATGTTGGTCATGTCTGCTTTCTCACCTCTCAGTCATTCGATAATGTTTTCCGCTCCTGCCATTCACTGAAGCTGCCCTTGTCAAGGTCAATAACAGATGGCCTCCATATTGCCAAGTCCATGGCCACTTATTGGTCCTAATTGTACTTAACTTATCATACTTATTCTGTACAGGTGAGCATTTCTTCCATGAAGCATTTCTCCTGGCTTTTGTACACTATACTTTTATGCTGTTCTTCCTACCATAGTGGCTAGTTTTTATCTTTTCCTGACTTCTCATCCCCTAGAATTTCTTGACTTTTTTGATCATAATTCACAATAGGAAATCACTTTACATTATTCCCAGTACATTCGTAAGTTTATAAATTACGTATATCAATCAGTTTATATATACACCTATCTACCTATCATCTCTCTATCTCTGAAATAAAAATTTTATGGATTAGTACTTGTCCTTACGCCATGAGATGCATGCTGTTTTCTATGAAATTTCTGAAATATGTTATAGTACAGATCTACATTTTTATTTCCTCATTTCTTTTGTTCTCTCTCAATGGATTTTTATCTGGTTCTAAAGATGTAAATATTAACTGTAACTAATGACTAAGTTGATATCTCCAGCTCTCACTTCTGTCCTACACCCCAGGCTCATGCAGCAAATTTTTTTTCTTGATCCCCACTTGGAGATGTAAGAAGCATCTCAGACTTAACACAGCTAAAACAGAACTCTTGATTTCTACCACCTGTCCGCCTGCCCTGCCCCATTCCATTCCCATCTCAGATCAGCCATGTGGCTGTCCTGTCTGTCCTGACCTCACCCCACCCCACGTCGTCCCATCGTCCCCCCTCCCCACCACGCCCCGTCCCATCTCAGATGTTACCAGCAGCCAAGGACGTAGGTGTCGTCCTTGGTTTCTTTTGTTTTGCCCTTCCTCTTACTCCCCATCCCCCTCCCCTTACAAATAACAACTCTATCTGAAGTCTCCTAAGTTTTACCTCTTTTAAAAAATCTGAAGTATGTCGTCTTCTGCATGTCCACAGCCACCACCGCTGTCATCTTTGGCTTGCGTTAGTTTCCTGACTAGTGTTTTTCCACTCCCCCCCTTCTTTATAATGCACTTTTCATATACTAGCCGGACTCTTTTATTAAGACAATATTTTCTTGAAAGTTTTTAACAAAAGAAATAAAGTTTCAAAAGTCACTAGTACTAAAAGACATGAAAAGGTAGTTCCTTTCAACCCTCAGTTTCACTGTTTCCCCTAGTTATTTACTTCCATATTCCTAAATAATATTCATGGCTGTTTCTTGGTTTTGCAATTTCAGACGTTATTTATTAACCATGGTAGAATCCTCATTTCTTTCTCTGCATGCCATTAATGATCATTTTTTGGCTGACTTGGTAGTCAAGGTTTATATTTTGACTATGTAAATAGTCCTTGCTGGTCAAATAGTGTAATATGACCATATGTCCTTCCTTATATGGTTCTCCATTTTTCTTAAAGTTAATAATTGCCTTTTTTTTAATCTAGTATTACTTCTTTCTATGTACACATTGTTAATTGGTCCGCTGCCAATATTCCATAATCTCTTACACGTACTCATCAGTAATATTTATTATGTGTTGAAAGGAGGTATTTCTCGCCTCCCCTGACCCCTTCCTCCAACTCCCTCACCTAGTCCTGGAGCCTTGCTTCCTTCTCGGCAGCTTTCATTCTTTGCTTAACCTTTATTTTCTCAGTTCTAAATCCTGTTTTCAAGATCTTGTGTCATCATCTTTCTCACTTTACACTCTTGTTTTGCTGGAGCATATTTTCTAGTAGCTTTCTAAGAAAGAATGCATGAAAAAAATTCTTTGAGCTAATACCTGCCTGGAAATGTCTTATTTTATTTTCTACCTTTATACTTGATTGATAATGTGAATAGATTTCAGGTTGTAAATAATTTTCTTCCAGAATTTAAAAATTATTACTCCATTGATTTCTAGCTTCCTAGACTTGATTTTGAGAAATCTGATGCCTTCCATTTCCTTGTCCGTATAATTGACTTGTTTCTCTTTCTAGATGCCTTCTGGATAGTTTTTTTTATCTTGTTCTGAAACATCATAATGATGTGCCTTGGTATGTTTCTCTTTCTTTCATTTTTCTGGGCCCTTTTGGTTCAGATTTGTTCTTTATTTCTGGGGAAATTTTCTATTAGATCTTTGACAATTTTCTCTGCTCCATTTTCTTTATTCTTTCTGAAACGTCTGTTAGTTAGATGTTGGACCTTATGGGCCAATTCTTTAATTTTTTCCTTTTATCTCCTATTTTCTATCTTACTTTTCCCTCTCCCTTTCTTCTGGTGTTTTGGGTTTATCTTCAATCTCTTATGTTTTTATTTCAGCTATCAATTTTTAAGTTTAGAGCTTTCTTGTTCAATGATGACTTCTCTTGTGTAATACCTGTTCACTTTTTGGGGGAAGGGGGGCGGTGAAGAAGATTGTTCCTGAGCTAACATCTGTGCCAATCTTCCTCTATTTTTTGTATGTGGGTTGTTGCCTCAGCATGACTTGATGAGTGGTGTGTAGGTCCACGCCTGGGATCTGAACCCATGAACACTGGGCTGCTGAAGTGGAGCATGTAAACTTAACCACCACACCACCACGCCAGCCCCAATATAGTACCTGTTCTTGCTTCATGTGTGTAATATCTTATCTCCATAAGCATATTAGTTATAGTTGTTTTTATTGGGTTTTTTTGTTTTTTTTTTGAGGAAGTTTAGCTCTGAGCTAACTGCTGCCAATCCTCCTCTTTTTGCTGAGGAAGACTGGCCCTGAGCTAACATCCATGCCCATCTTCCTCTACTTTATACGTGGGGTGCCTACCACAGCCTGGCTTTTGCCAAGTGGTGCCATGTTCGCACCCGGGATCCGAACTGGCGAACCGCGGGCCACCGAGAAGCAGA